ACATATGTAGGGTAAGTGAAGTTAAGGGTTTCGCGAGACATTTCCTGATACAAAATTCATTCAAATACAAGAGTATTTTCGTACTTGGATAATAACACTCTCAACCATTCACTGACGGTTGTTAGGTCATTGTCTTTTATCCCTTCAGTCAGGGGCTCGACACCGTTATATCCTCGGGATCCCAGACGGTCACCCATCCAGGAACCTGCGGTGTATCGGGTCTGGAAAGTTTTGTCCTGCGTAAACTATTTTTTTAATACAATGACACTTATATGATATTCGTTATTAATGCCAAAAAGAGTTTAATTTCACTATTAACAGTTGAAAGCCAATATTTAACATGCAAAAGAAAATAACAGAAACGACCCCAAAATAACACAAAAATGAGAACACACTACCACAAACCAATACAAAAGTACCGCTCAAAGACATCATTGGCAAAGAAACTGCGAGAAATCTTAAGAACACGGCGCGCAAAATTGACACTACAAACCAGAGAGTGAGAGACAGATAAAGAATGAGAGAGAAATTAAAAGATGGCACAAGCTCTGACAGCATTTCTCAACCGCTGTTGCAATTTTATACGCTACGTGATACCCCACATTATGTAAAGATATTTGGAAACATAAGAAACATTGACAATCTCATTGTACTTTTAATGTAAACAAACAAACAAACATGAATCGAATTCTCATTTGATTCAGCAACAAACTAATAAACTATAAAACGTTTTGTCCAGCATGGGCGTTACTTGATGGTCTTGACCCGAGAGTCTTCTAACCCCGAAGGTCAGAGGTAACGAGGTCCTCGGGACAGAAACATCAACCTCGGCACATAAATATTATCTACTATGGCACAGCAAACTATTTTTCATCACCTAGTGTAACTTTTTTATTTTATATTTTACTAAATATTGGATTAAAATATTATACATTACATACGACGATAAAGATACTTGATCTACTCGAAAAAGATATCTCACTCACTCCTACCGTCGCTTGAAAGGAACACCTTCCTCTCGTAGAAAAAGTTCTCTTTCATCTTGTGTAGTAAATTTAGTATGTTTTGCAGCTAGTACGATCACTAGCAGGATATGAGCGGCCGGACTTTCGATAATGCGAGGTCCTCAAGCATAAACTCGTATTGCCTACCCTCTCCGGAAAAAATATCCCAGATTTATTTTAAATGCCTACCATGTATTACGGTAGGCTATTTAATTAACATAAATGCACAAACATTTCACGACTTTATACGAGTATTTTGTTGTTTTTTCCGGCTCGTGGGTCTCCCCATGGATGGTGGCTCCTAAGCATTTGCTTATTTTGCTTGTAGGTAAATTCGACCTAAAGCTGGCTTTACACTTGCCAAAAAATGGCGAGCTATATTATTTCGCAAGAAAATTTGCCAATGTTAACATTTCGGCAATAAATATTTCTGATATTGGCATTATTTCTAAGTAGATATTCCGGACGTAATGTTAACTAGAGTGATTCCGTCCTCGTAAAGATATTGCTGGCTGTTGCTGGGACTAGAAATGGATTGACGTCTGAGCAAGATATTGCTGAAAGAAGCCGATAATGAATATGGTCACATGCGCAGGAAGAACAGTTAAGGTGGTACATAGACGCAACGTTTCTATTGTAATATGCGTTTTTTCGTAAAAAAAGGTTTACTACAATAAAAGAAGTAATAAATCTTCTAAACCTTCTATGGTTGACAATCAAAGGTTCAAATTTTTGTTCAGCTGTAGATGTCTCCTGATTATTAATTTTTTACTTAAAAATTATTAAGATGTAAATGAAGTTTAAGATGAATCTATAATATATCAGTAGTAGGAAAAGGATATTTTAAAACTTTTTACCGAATTAGAAATTGCACTTTTTATAAAAATAAAATGACTTTGCTCCCACGTGAATCGAACTTAAAGAAAACATTTTGTTTTATGGAAAATATTAAAGACTCTTCTACCTAATTCACACAAGCACCCTTTTCCTCCCGTCTTAAAATCCAGCCACACGTCGTATTCTATCGTTGGCGTTACTTCATCTCCTCATTTAGCACAATAAGTGCGACCGCAACTTCTGCCTTCTACTAGTTATCTCGGGAAGTGAGGTATAATCTCAATTTCACACGCCACTTTCTACGTAACGCCACCAAACACGGCAACATATAGTCCTAAAGTAAAACGATCGCCAATATCTTGCCCGAAAGATCTTGCTCAGATCTTTCTGACAATATATTGCCCCTCCTTGCTCTTGCTAATGTAAAGATGACCACAAGAAGCAGAAACAAATCGCTGAAAGATATTGCGGAAACGTATTGCTAATGTAAGGCCAGCATTGGAGATATTGTAAATAAAGGTTCGGCAAGAACAAGATAGTCAAAAACGTTTATAGTAGAGAGGTCACTTTAATACTCGTTTGTAACTTTAATTAGCCATCCTATACAGGAATTTGTATTTTGTGAATGAACATTTTATACTATTATTTTGAATTTGAAATTGATATCTTCGTTTTACAATAATTTGTGCTGTCTTTCGATGTTAATTAAGTATACTTTATTTGTAGATATTGGGTGAAATATTGATGGAAGAAGCCATCATCGGCGTAATTACGTGTAGCTCAAAATTATTTTTTAACATAATTTGAAAGAATGTCTGTTGGGAGCTCTAATTAGATGTAAGCTGGTGAAAACTTCCGCAGGAGAAGAAACACACGCATAATACCACAAATTCCACATCTTTCATATTCGTCCCCCACTATCTAGGCATCACAGCTTCTGACGTGACAATTGTAGGGACGTTAGGCTTCCAAAATACGCTTTTGTCAAAAACCTTTTAGGGCCAATATCAGAGGACGTTCACAGGCTGGTAGGCCGCGATCCAGTTGGCGTTGAAGGGTCAAACGTTTCGAAAAAAAAGCCTACGAAGCTTAGGACCAAATTGGCGGTGGGGCTCCGGCCTATGCAATTTACGAAGCACAACCTTCAGTCTGCACAAAACATAATTTTCAACACATTTTTTATATCAGAATACTTTCACAGTTAAGTTAACTCGCAAACCTTTCGCTGATTTACCACTTCACAGTGGGCTCCACTCTCCGAGATACACGTAAACAATCCTGATTTTGTTCAACTCGCAATTTCCAACGTGTAAGCAAAAGGGGCATACAAACCCGTCAAGGTCGAAAATTGAATCCGGTAACGAAAGTGCGGGCACGCAACTAGTTACGCCGTCGTTTAGAGTGCACGCTGTTCGTTCCAAGAAAATCCTGCACTTAAGACGCCAGTGATGTCACGTGATGGGGTGGGTCGAAAGTGGAAGACTGGTGAATTGTTGGCTTCCCATTGCTGTTCGGGACACTTGTTTGTAATGAACACCTGTATTGTTTTTAATAATGCCCGTGGAACATCAACGCAAAGTTTCTTGTAAATCCTCCACCCAATTACAAAAATTATGTTCATCCGCGTTATTATTTTCTGTGCATTTAGAAACGCCGAGTCTTTAAACATATTTCCACGATTCCAGGCAAGACGTCTTTTATGCATTAGATAAAATAAAACACGGATTAGAGTTGCGAAAGGGTTTCACATATTGCCACATCTGGTAAGATAGAGACTAAGATTCCACAAAAAGAAAGATTGTCTAAATAGCTTGTTAATTGTCGATGGTCGACTTTTAAGACCCTCTCTTTAGTGAATATATTGATTCAGGGCACGGCAACTACCGAGATCATTTGTCGCAGTAGTGTAGCACATGTGTATCCCTGGATGATCAATATTCCTCCCCCGCTGGAATGTGATTCGGCACCGACCTACACGCTAAATTTCAAGCTTATCCTCTGCAGATGTGTCTCCCTCCAGGCTCCGCCGCAGCCGAGGCAAACTCTACGCTCCCGACGGGTCTCCCGATACGTGTGATAGTGTAGTACATGTAAGGGTAAGACAAGAGAATGAGGAAGGAAAGATAGCACGAGGTCTATGCTCTGTTTGCTAAGGTACTGCTCCCGCATTCACGTGATATTGATATGAGAAGCCACAAAACAAGAACAACTCTCCTCCGCAAAAAACAATTACTCGTAGGCAATCGGTAGTAAGTGATCCACAAACATCCGATCAAGCAATAAGAAACGATAGGGGCTGACTATAGTATATAACTACAGTTTCTACTGGGAAAAGTAAGCTAGCAACGGGGGTTCAACGGTCATCGACCCTCTCAAAAATCACTCATGGAATGATCGCAATTTAATTTATGTACACCTGATTCACTTACGTTTCACGTACAAATTATCAAACTAACAATAAAAGGAACCAAGTACCCATGATGAAGTGCAGTGAATGCTGCATGATGTAGAATTAGAAATCGGGTGTACGACGAAATGAAACTAGTGTTTTGGAATGCTCAGCTACGTAACCAAGAGAAATATGCTGTGAATATGGATGCTCCTCATATTTTCTTCTTATGAATTTAATTACATACAAAATATTTGCATTGGTTTTGAGAGAAATGTATATTATTACTTTCTTGCCACCACTTACGCAGTAGTGAGAAAGTTATGTAATGCAGCGCTAAAAAACGGCGAATTTCGACAGAAAAACACTTATTACAGGGCCCTGGTAACGAAAAAGTGGTTAAATGCAGTTGCTAAATTTAGAAGGAAAAAATCCTTTTACACGTATTGTAGCCAGAATCCATGTTTTGTGAACCTTTGATACCGAAAAAGCGAATGACGGCAAAACTTGTCTCCGTCAGTTTGTCAACAACGCTAGCTCCTACACAGTTCAGTCGATTTTATCTAAAATTGATATTCCCCAATCGATCTGGATGATGTCGCGGCTCCTTGAATTTGAAACCGATATTTTAATTTTGGGAGGTCCTTCACGGAGTACCGTATGAAGTACCGGGGACATTTTAATAAATTGGCTCCATCGTTTTCGAGTAAATTTTGTTGTTGTATACCGAGAAGCACGTTTAAGAGCATGATGGTCTCATTTCCGTTGAAATCTCAACATTTTTCAAAAATTGCAAAAATTCAAATTTTTTTCGGCGTTGTCCTACAACTACAATTATGAAGATAAGAGATTTTTCCCGTAATGAAATTTGGTCCTTAAAGACATATTTTTAAATAAGGTCATGTTCAACTTTTCAAAAATTTGAGTACTTTTGGCGTTATTGTGCGTGAAAGTACGGGAGAGAATGTACGTGCTATTTTCCCATTACTTTTTTTTTTTTTTTTGGTAGCCATTCATTTCGATGTAGTTTTAAACCACGCGAGAAGATCTCCTTTGAATTTTCATCTAGAAGATTCAAGTAGATACACGCGTCATGTGCGATGAGTTATGACACACACTTCAACTAGCGTCAGACAGACAATGGCAGAGCAGCCGGCGCAGAGTGCATTCTTACGTCGGCCGGCCGAAACCAGGGCAAACCGAATTGATAGATTTTCTCTCTTATCTCGTCGCAAGTCGACGAACTACTCTAATTCATTGTAGGTTTGAACTTGTTTATGAAAAAGATTCTGGCCAATGGTGCAGTGCCCTTTAGAGGAGCAACATACAGCAGTTCTTCGTGGGAAGCCTAGGCTAAAAAAGTGGCAGTGTTGCATGAGTTTCGTTGAGTCGTTTGGACCCCCTCCCCTCCGAGCGCGTGGTGTGGAGAGGGAACTCATCAGCTCACCACCACGCCCACGTACAGACGGAAAAAAGCTGTCCCAGATGCCATGTTATTCCCGGAACGCGAGAACACCATCTATGTTGCTTGAGTCGAACTGTTGTCTTTCAGTCAGGAAGCTGATTCAATTTTCTACCAATATTATTCGCACGGTAGATAGATCAAAAGAATTGAGAATAAAAAATTGGAACATATAGAAACGTTTAAGAAAAATTGGAACATGTAACGTTTGTTAAGAACAATTCATATGGACACCTCCTCTCAAAATTTGCAAGCCCCCTTTTACAGACTATCAATTAAATTCAAGACCAAATCCAATCCAAGGAGCGAATTGTTTATACTTCCAGGCTCATATTTGCGTTATTAAAAGGTACTGTAAATATCCTTGGTTTGGTTACTTTCACAAGAGGCAATTTCTGGCATGCACTTTGTGCGTGATATCGATTCCACGTTAATACTTCTGGCAAGAAGTGTAGGCTGCTTAAGATAACATTATATGTCATCTTACAATTCTCTTCTGTTCTTGAATAATTTTGGCAGCTTCTGTAAGACAAAAAATATTTGTAAAAAATCAGTTTTTGCATCCATGTGTCATGTTTCTTTCATGTGAAATAAGACATAAACATTGCATTATTTATGGTTGACAACTCTCTACAGCTGGGCTGTCATATAGTACAGCCTCATTGGTCTGGTTACCATCTCCTCAAATTAAGAAACCTAGAGACTTTTTTAGGGGGCAGATTCACTAAAACACTGAAAGATGGCTTCAAAAATGTATAAACAAAGGCTTTTTTTAAAAAAAATTATACATACATTTGAAAATTCGAAGAATTTCACATTTTTATTTATGAATCTGAATTTAAATACATAACTGGAAATCAAATAATACATTTTAAAATATAACTCTCCTCAAATGCGAGTTATATGTTTCCTTAATGTCCGGGTTTCTCGATAACCAGGATCTCAAGGTGGTGACATATATGCATACATAAGCATATTGTGTACACTTACATGTATACATACATATTTACACATAGACATGCAAGCATATATATACATACTGTATTTCCTCATGTAAAAGTTGAACTTATTCAAACTTTGGGAACTCAAAACTCAGAGTGACTTACAGAATGGCTTTAGATATTTCAAACAGTATTTTGTGCTTTTCCCGTGCTTATCTTTGCGGGTTTTTTTTCTTTTTTTCGCTTGTTACCAGTTAGATTTTGTTCTGCCCAAAAACTGTTCAGAAAAAATTTCGTAGGTTTACTTAAAATTTTAAAGTGATATATATGCAGAAAGGAATGAAAACCGTACAGCTTAACGTAAGTTTGATTCTCATTGAATTGAAAAAGCAAACCGAGACTGGCTAAGGGATGAAACCCCAACAGTACACCTTGAGTTTTTACACAAATCTGCTTTATTGTTGCTTGATCAGCTTAGATACAGAACAAAAAAGATCGCTGTAGACCAAAATGCAACAATTGTACATGGAGGCATGATATCCCAGCTCCACCCCCTTGATCTCAGCATTAATAAACCCTTCAAAGCCGTCGCGAAAGCCTAATGGATCCAATGAGTGAAGTCTTCAGGAGATAGACACCGCCATGAAGAGTGAAGACAATTATGTAAACGAAAAGATCTTGAGACAATATCAAGATTGAGATCGTTGTCAAGACACTTAAGAAATGAGACATTTCAAATTCTATTGATCAGTATTCATCAGAAAGACAGATCGGGAGCAAAGGTCTTTAATTTCTTTTTTCATTTTTTTTAAATATTATTTTCCAAGATCATATTAATTTTTAAAATTATCGAAAAAATGCTCGCATCGCATAAGTTAATCATTTTAATTCCTGTTGTAACTGTAACAGAATTTTGCGACTCTAGAGAACAAAAGATGTTCTTTCATTTGACTTATGTGTTGAATTTATTAAAATTTTTTAAAATAATTTTTGACCTATTTTATTTTTATTTTTTCAAAAATTCGACAATTTAAAAATTTGAACAAAATACTATTGTAATCTCTAAAAGTTATACATAAGTGTGGTAAGTTACAAAGTGGAACACCGAGATGAATCTGAAAAATTAAATACAATACAAATGTCTACTTGCTGTTTTGCTGCCGCGTCTGCAAGAGCATCGCCCCTTAAACACGTGCCAATGACCAGTAGACAATTACCATCAATATACTTTCACAGAGCAATAAGTGTGAAGAACACCTTCACATCTTACTATGTGCCATTTATATATAATCTTCATAGCGAATTAAATTCAAATTAAAAAGTGTCACGAGGATTCAATTTCGTATTAAACGGACGGAATATTTTTACGAATAAGGGTATGTGATAAAATTAATTAAATTAATATTTATTTTACTTCACTTTACAGAGAACATCGTTAATTGACATTGTCATAAAGAAATGAAACCATTTATTTTCTCAATTCCTTCTACTGCTTTTTAATTATATCATCGTTGCAATAGTCCTCTTACTGAATATTGACCGTTGCTAAAAATATAAAGTAATGTTCTTCACATTATCAATAACCCACTAAAATAACTTCCAGTGTAAATTAATAGGTTCCTGTCAGAATTGAAAGTTAGCTTTTATTGAGAATATTATAGTTGCCTCTCCCCCTCATTATGTCGCAAGGTCCATTTCCATAAACGTTGCGAAGCGAAGAAACGCCATTCGGCACTCACATTGGAGACATGTTTGTGGAACATAAATTCGCATAGCTTGGCAATAGTAGCCACTGACCCCATCCGAAAAATGTGTAAACACTGTTGTAAACTTACTTGAGAAGTGTTATGAGTTTACACTGGCAATGGCAAATTTAAATCGTGTCGAGTTTCAGGTATCCAAAAACATTATTTTAAAATCCTTTCCTTTCTCTGAAGTATAGCAAACGGATGCAGAGTACCCAAGACATTAATTCCCAGCAGTCACTGAATTACATCTTCTAGTATGAAAGAATAATTTTCTAAAAAATCACATTGGACAATCAAAATTCCCCGCGTCAAAGTTTATTTTTGTTTCATGAAGAGAGCAGAAGAAACAGACGACGAACTTACTAGGTGAGTTTCTTTATTACTCGTACTACGCAACTTTTTTATAGTTTTACTGTCACATGATAACTCAAAAGGGAACACTAAGAAGACGACAGGTTTACTTTTAACACCGTTGACCGCTCGGAACGACTATGGAGTGGAACGGAATGCGTGCTGGGCAGGTGCTGTGTGCGAATAGGGAAACTACGAGAAGCTTACAGTTAACAGATGAAGATAGTTTTCTCTCTATGTTCTTTGTGTTAATGTGCTTTTGTAACCAAATTCTAATAAACATTGTGTTCGTTCATTTACGTGTAGTGCGATTAATATCGTTTCTCCACAATTTGGGGACTCAGTAAGGTATTAGAACGACGAAGGTTAAGTTCACTTCTACGTATCGCCGAACGAGAAACGAGCCGACGAAATCAAGCAGAATTAACGATGTCTGTTCAAGTTTGAAGGCACGCATCTTCACTCGCAGAAGTTGGATAAGAAGCAGAACAGAAAAAAGAAGTTTCGAAAATCAAGGACAACGTTTGTGTTAAACACATGGCATGTTGTGGCAAGGATACGTGGGAACGGTATTAATCAGCATTCAGACATTTGAAACGAAGTAAATAAGTACGGGAAAGAATACTATTCAACGTTACTAAAAAATAGGTTAAAGCAGTGACTTCAAAATGACGTCATTATCAAATTTAGACAAACTTGTGAAAAATACTGTTCACGTAGGGTACGACTTTGAATCGGAAGAGAATGAAGAGATGAAATCACAGAAGAAACAGAAGCCAACAAGCACACAAAAAGAAAAGTGAACACGATAAGTATTTAACCAAGAAAGTTAATAAGATGAGTAACAGAAGGAAAAGATTATCAACTACTCGGACGTGGAGTCGAACGACGGAAAGAGGCCAGAATATTCTAAATGTGAAATGAATATGCCAAAATTTTAATTGACATTTAGGGACATCGAAGATTCGATCAAATCATTTGATGGTAGCAGAGGATATCCAATCGACAAATGGATCATCGAATGTGAAGAAACTGCAACCCTGATAGGGTGGAACGCATTGCAAATGCTCTTCTTTGCGAAAAGATCATTGAGTGACCTAGGAAAACTGTTCTTCCAGGGAAAAAGGGATTCATCAGTTGGAAGAAACTGAAAAAATCTCTCCGGAACAAATTCGACATCAAGACATATAAATGCGAACATTCATAAGATGCTGTTTACGAGAAGAAAGAAGCGAGACACGTCACTCCAAGAATATTTCTTGATTATGAGGGAAATCGCCAGACTGGGAGCTATCGATGATAAATCACTGGCGCAATACGTGATAGTTTGCATAGATGACGAATCAGGAACGACGTTGCTTCTCTACGATGCTAGAACCTTGAAAGATTTCAAAGAAAAATGCGCGATTATAAAAGTGCTTTGGCAAGGACAATTCACAAGAAAGCTGAAAAAAGCCAAACGGCAATTACGCACGGACAATCAAAAAACACACACAATTATAGTGATGCGAAATTCAAAGACGAAATCAAGGAGAAAATGCTAATAGAGGACGCCTTAGTAGTGGCCTTACAAATTATGTGTCGAGCGAATGCAAGAACAAAGACAAAGGAAGAAAACGTTTTAATTGTAATAACTTTGGCCACATTGCAAGTGAGCTACAGAAAAGGGAAAAGAGACTATGAACATCAAGGTGAGCACGCCAGGGAAGGTAGTTAACAATTACAAGTTCAAACACGTCAAGTTATGTAATCAAAACTCAGGCTTGATAGATTGTGGTTGTCAATTAAATTTGCTAAAGCATTAAAATACAATGCGATGGGAAAGAATGCGACTTCTACTAAGCAAAACCGACCTGATTTGGATTGGATTGAAAGATAGCTCTGTTTCAATGTTAGAATTTTTCAACGCTCGAATTGAATTGACGAGATTGAATTTTTATCAGATGTCTGCGTCGTCCCTAACAACGCCATTCAAGTGACCCTTATAATTGGAAATGATCTTCCGGAATAAGCAAATGTTACAATTACAAAAGGTGTTCAATTGAAGAACGGAGAATAGACTTATCTAAAGCACATTAACGTAACAGGCGATATACAGTTCGAAGATATGGGACAGAGCTTCATACGGACACCAGCAAGTACGGATATGGAGCTGTTCTTTGCGGAGACTACCTGATGATGGTCATCTTCACCCTGTGTCATACATGAGTAAGAAAACTACACCATTACAAGAAATATACAGTACCGACGAGCTGACAATTTTAGATGTTATTCGAGGATTGGAGAAATTCAAGGTATACCTCCTGGGCATCGAGTTCAAGAATCTAACGGATTGTGCATTCCAGAAAACAATGCAAACAAATGGATTTGACACCCAAGGTCGCTCGGTGGGCATTGGCATTAGCATTAGAAGAACATACAAATCAGATTGAGCACCGTGCTGGATCGAAGATGAGTCATGCAGCGCACTGGATAGATGCGCCTCGCTACTCTCCGGATTTGCTGACAATGTGACCGCTAAAATAAAGAAAGCACAAGTCAACGATGAAGGATTTAATGCGATCAAGAACATTTTAAAGTAGAATTCTTATGAAGATTTTCTACTGAGAGATGGATTGCTGTTCAAATTTCTTGATGGTCACAAAGTGTTAGAGGAACCATGATCTACGCAACAAGAAATTATAAAGTCAGTTCATGAGATGCAACATTATGGTAATAAACAAACTGAAGGAGAAATCAAGCCACAATATTTCATCCCTGGATAGACAGAGAAAGTGAAGGTTATTACTAACTGTGTGAGATGTTTGATCATCAACTGGAAGTCTAAGAAGAAAGATTTTCTACATCCTTTGTTCAAGGAAAGTCAGCTGTTCCATGCTCTACAAATGGATCACATTAGTCCATCGGCCTCCACCCATAAAGGAGTCAATCACATCCTAGTGATTGTGAACGACTCCACGATGTTTGCTTGGCTCTGTCCTGTCGGGAGTATGAAACTGTCAGATGTGTCTGACAAATGGCGCGACGCGCCTCGCTGAGAAGAACTTCATAGAAAGAGCAGGCAGTGAGGAAGAGAGTGTGTGCAGGGCAGGTGCTGGGTGCGAATAGTGAAACCTCAGTATATGTATCTCTACAGCAGCGCAGCTCAGCACGTATTTTAGCTAGTTATGGATGCGCGCGCATACAGCTAATGGTCCTGGCGGTGGTCAACTAAAACTACTGAGATATGCTACTGAAGTATACGGACTTCTGTGTGAAATTGAGTTTTTTCAAGAACTGGTTAAAAACTTGACAGACAATTCGTATTATTTCTTAACCTTGTGGTTATATATTCCGAGGATTTCAAGGGCGTCATTAAATAACACGTACAATTATTAGATTAAATAATAAGAGGAATAGTAAAGTAATAAGAGATTACTTACGTTTCTAGATATTTTAATGAACAGTATAGATATACTTGTTCTTCCTCATGTTTCCACTATTTTTTGGACATTCGTTAGATTTAAATAATTTCTTTCCTAAAAAATTGTTCAAAACTTCTACTTCACGTTTTAGTTATATGCATCAAGAATTTAAAGTTATACAAAAACGTTTAATTTTTGGTTAAATTTAGCAGAACGATACTGTATTACGAATTGTCAGGCGGCGTAGTATTCCTTGATCACCTCGCCGATCGCTAGTCGTCATAAAGCATTTAACACGAAGCTGCGCTACTGTATAAATACGTACTATAATGGTGAAACCACGAGCTGACAATTATCAGTTGAAGAAACCAGTTTTCTTTCCATGTTCTTTTGTTCGTTTAATAGTGCCATTTCCCCACATAATTGAAATTGGTAATATTAATGAAAATGATGATGATTCTTGTAAGATCTGATGAATTCCCGATATGTTGTTCAACTGCAGTCTGACCAACGTGGGCTCGCCCCGCCGAGGCGGCGCTGAATCTTCCGACGAAAGATGAATTGTCCGTTCTGTATTTACACGATGTAGCAAAACATAACCTACTATATACTTACGTTGAAAGCTTCGCTACGCATTTCTGACACTTTCCGGCCACAGCTATTTGCATAAAACGATATTAAAACATAATTTCCAACGCAAATTTATTCCAAAATATTTTTGCGAACGCACAAGGCCCCTCACATTTGGGCAATCATCATACAGTTTTATCCAAGTCTAACCCACCACGCGAATTAACTGGATAAGTACTACCCTAAACGTTGGCATTAGCCATATTTCGGACTGTAGTTGTAACATATACAATCTACTGCTTTCTATACACATGTATAGTAGTTTTATGCACACATTTGTATAGAGTTTGGAACATAATGTATATTTTAAAAGTAAATTATATATTAATTTGGTTTTGTGGAATGAGGGTTATCATTTTTTGCAGCAAAATCACTCTCTGCAAAGTCAAACTGCAACAACTGCCTCTGTGTAGTAATTACAAAGTTCAATAATCTTACCTGCTCAAAACCAGGGCATTAATCACAATAAAACATTATATTCAAAATACTCACCGACTGGGAACATGTCTCTTCCTTAACAAGGCAGCAATCATCCCCATCATCATCATTATCAAACTCATAATCAGCCTGATCAAAATCATCGTATGTGCACTGAACTGACTTATCACTGACTGGTCTTGCAAAGGATTTTTCTGAATGTAATGTTGGATTATCCCTATCATCAATCGTCATAAACATATCTGCTTCAACACCTTGCTGATAAGCTGATGAAGTTATAAATTTAATCAACTCTGGTAGATCTCTTCCATAGTCAGAACAATAATTTGATACTTCATTTTCATAGGTCATATTAGTTGAACTTCCACATTCTTCAATATCAAGTTCTGTTCCATCAGACAAGAACGCTTCACAATCTGATAATCTTCCATTATAATATTGTGGCAAAGTAATAAAATGTTCTCCAACCTGCCTTTGAGAAAAAACATGTAGTTCTTCATCATTAGAAATTAAATCCACAACTGGGGCACAAGAGTTCTCACAAGTAACATTTTCCAATTGACTTCTTTCTATGGTCGGTGCTGTTTTATCATATACATATAATGTATTTGGAGGCAGTTGTTTCTCAAATGGCATCGTCACTGATTCTATTACACTAGTTCCTTCCTTACCCAAATATTCTGAATCACTGTACATATCTTCAAAATAATCAGGTTCCATTTTCATTGACGTTGAAGTGAAATTATTATCGCTCACTTGCGATTCAATTACCCCTTGCCTTCCAACACTTGGTTCCTCATATAAGGTGCTTTTCAATGAACTCTTTTTGGTATTATTAGTAGTAATTCTTGAGGCACATGGAGTGGTATAATATTTTATTTCATCATCTGTTAATTTTTGTAAACGAAGTTCTACTTGTTGGCACTGCTTCATTAGTTCAACTGCTTTTAAACTTGCTTCTGCAACAGCAACACAAAACAACATCATAAGTAATTTGGTAGAGGAGCTCCTGATAGAAATTTTTAGAAAATGTAAAAATTATATAAAAATTATTTTTCAAGAACAATAGAAACAAAATTTATCATGGATCACAATTCAACATGATTAAATAAAACATAGATGACAAAGAAATGCATAGTGCAGAAAAATAACAAAAAGTACAAATTTTTAGAACACATACAAACTCTGATACACAAAATCATATTAAGATAAAAGCAGTTTAGAAGATTAATGAAATTGCTTTTCTTCACCAATTCAACTTATATTAAACACAGTAGGTAATATTACAAAAATAATCAACTCCCAGACTTCAGTGAATTCACAAGTCTCGGACTAATTTACACTTCAGATCCTTAGATAGGGAATCTAAATGTTTATGATCTTTAATTCCTGCTTCGACAAAATTTCTTTGAAAATCATGTCTTCTTACTTTCCCCTAGTTCATCCATCATCACAGAGCAAACAATGTTAAGAATTTACAGAAAAAATTCAGAACTAATAGCATACCATCCTGCATGTATGGGGCTCTTCTTTGCCACTGCCTCTTTGGATGCTTGAAAACATGAATCCAATCATCATGTGGTTCATCTTCACCTTTCTTACGTGGTTTCCAAGTAATAGGCCATGTTGAAGATCTAGGTTCTCTGACTCTAGCATTATTTTCTGGAGGTTTTGTAGAACAGTATCGTTCAACTCGATCCAGGTGCACTCCACTACCAAAATTGAAACCTCGAGATTTTTTATTTACAAGAACTCCCAAAGGTGAAGAGAGTGGAATGCTAGAGTAACGTAGAGAATTTCCAAGAAATCTTTTATATCTTGGAGGATCAACCTTTTCTTCAATCACTGGTACATTTTCACTTCGGTTGCTAACTAAATGGAAATAATCCAGAAAATTTGCCTGAAAATAAAGAAAAAATGAGTAACATACTATTTCAAAAATGTAATAATGAATTTACTATAAATCTCAAACCTGTTCAGAATTCAAGTCAGCTGTGCCAATAGGACAAGGTATAGGATCAGGTTGCTGACCATGGCAGATTTTTTCATGGTCCTGTCAACAACGGTTAATATCAAAACTCATATTAATGTATTACTCTAGAAATATTGATGAATCAACATTAGGTACAAATGTTCTGAGTAATAATTAGTGGTATTGTTGCTACCTCATGTGATCAAAGGTAAGAAAATAAATAAAATCTTTATGGTGATTGGAACTATCATACATAAACTTATTAACAATTAATGAAGAAAGAAAATAAATTTAAAATATTATCTATATAGACTTTTATTTGCATCTAATCAAATACCCATAACAGTGACAACTATAACAAACACATGAAAGATTTATGTCGATGTTCTTTTTTTGTAAACAAAACATTCCTCTTAAACATATAAGAGTTAGCTTGCAAAATCTTCACCACTAACTGGGCTACAGAAATTTTTAAAACATAACTTTATTACTGTTGGAAGGTAATTTGTTCCACTGTATAAGTGTTTATATTCGCGGAAATTAGATTAATTAATAGAATTATATCAAGGAATTGATTAAGAATATTTTTGATTGCTTTAATATCTTTTTTGAAGCTGCTTATAGATTTTATTTATTATCTTATAGTCAACATGGAATGTTTTTTTCTGGCTCATTTAGTTATGTTAATGGGTACTTCCATGAGTATTTATTATTTTTACATTTTTCCTTTAAATATAATTTTATATAGGGATATTTTATTTTTGTTGTATTTAGCTTTATTAGTTTAATAAGAATGTTTATTTGTGAAATCAAAGGTATATAATAAGTAATATATTATGCTATTAATTATAATAATTTTATTTGTAAGTTATCTTTGGTTATTTTATTTTTTATATCAATAATGATGTTTTTTTCTGGATTGGTTGTTTGTGTAAATTATTATGTAATTTTTTTTGGATTATAAATCGTTATTATTTATAAGATTTGTTATGTGAATATTTGTATATTTCTTCTTTAGTAATTTATTATACAGATAGTTATAAAATAGGTGATTTATAACTATTATATATAT